AATTATTAACAAGGTAAAACGTTTTTGGCCTGAAATAGAAAAGATGGCGACTTGCTACTGCAAGAAAAAACATTTCAGACAAATGATCATCTCCAATAAAAGAGTTTGTCGTGTCTTTCTTTTGGCAAGGAATATCCGACCAATTTTGGTTAGCCTTTCAGTCTAGCCAGCCTTATAATGGAGTGCTTACCAAGTGTTTTAGGCAGTACTGACCATTTACCGCACATTATTAAATAATTAAAAAAACACGGATCATCACAAAGCAATAGGCCAATTAAAATACACCATTTAATCGAGGGACGTTTAAAAAGGAGCAATTATGTTTTACCTAATATTTTTGATTTACTAAACAGCACCCATAAACAATGAAAAATTATTCTGTGTAGTAAGAGTTAAAATAAAACGTTAAGATTGGTTTTCTTTCTTTCTTGTTTTCTCTCTCTCTTTTGATATCCACAAGAAACACCGAAAGTTTGTATGTATTACTTTTCCATTGTAGTGCATACGTTTCTAACATGGGTTTTTTTTGGGTTTTTTTTTATCAAGTTAAACTTCATTCATTTTACAATTTTGGAAAAAAGGGAAGACTGTAATCTGTTAATTGAAGTACCACCCATGTTCAGTAATCACTAGTTAATGTATCTAAAACTAGATCGAAACCTAGTGTTATGTGCCATGTGGTACGTTTAGGCCTTTATATATATAATATATATATATATATACCATTCCCATTTCTCTGTCCCTTGCGTAAGGACTCGTAAAGCTACAATCCGTGGATTTATTCCTCACGGTGGGCAAAGCGCAGATAGCCTACTCTGTAAGTTTGCGCTTAACAACAAATAAAGAACAAACTTATTTCTCTTACTGATGTCATGGTATTATTACATAAACATTTGGAGCGCTTGTCGAAAATATCCAGGATCAACTTAAGAAACAAAATGCAGTGAGATTAATAACCAACATTTTGAATACTAACTTTGACCTACTATAAATTAGTATGGAATTACCTTTCAGACCAGTTTTATTGGGTAACCCTATAATTACTGTAACGAACGCTTCTTCATGAATAATTTTGTTTTGTAGATTGATGTGTTAATGATGCAAATGCATCCAATCACATTTTCATTCTTATATAGGCAATGTTTGTTCCTAAATTATTCAATAATTTCCGGTCGAAGAGGTTCACATGACATTCATCACACACAGGTAAATCAAAAATTACTTTTAATTTATCTTTATAATTTAGTAAGCAATAGCAGTAACCTTGAGAGGTAATCTAGAGGAGGAATAATAAGCCTTACCTTACCTTAGATGTCCAGTAATTCTCAGCGGTCTATCACAACAGGTTGACCACTTTAGTAAAACATGGAAGGAATAACTAGCCTTACTCTTGATGTGCAGAAGGCAACAATGGTCCACCATAACACGAAATCTAGTCTAGAGAGATTTAGGAGAAATAATTAGTCTTACCTTTGACCCCCAGTAAGCAGCAGCGATCAGCCACGGCAGCCCCAGTCCGAGGAAGACATTAACAGAGTTACTACCCGTGACATTTCCAATAGCATTGTCGGCATACTTTTCTTGTTTGGCCGCCGTACGTGAGGCGAAGAGGTCTGGCAGAGATGTCCCTAAGGCAACGAAAGTAATAGCTGTCACGGTATCTTTCAGTCCCACCAAACAACCAAAAATGCTAGCTAGGTCACCCACGATAGCTGTAAGAGCACCTATTACTCCAAGGGATACGAAAAATGTCACCCAACCTCCAAGGAAACCAGTTGGAGGCACTAAAGAGAAGAAAACCTGGAACAATAGAGTAAACATAAGAAAATGAAATACCACGAGAAACAAAACTTCTCTGGTCATTTGAGATTTGTTGGATCAATTTGCATGCATACATATAAATTGAAAGAATGATAATGTAGAAGTAAGCATAAGAATGATAATGTATCTGAGTAGAAGTAAGCATAAGAATGATAATGTATCTGAGTAGAAGTAAGCATAAGAATGATAATGTCTCTGAGTAGAAGTAAGCATAAGAATGATAATGTCTCTGAGTAGAAGTAAGCATAAGAATGATAATGTCTCTGAGTAGAAGTAAGCATAAGAATGATAATGTATCTGAGTAGAAGTAGCATAAGAATGATAATGTATCTGATAGAAGTAAGCATAAGAATGATAATGTATCTGATAGAAGTAAG